TGACACTATGATGCCTTCAGGCTCTGCTCAGTTACATTATGATGCCTGTATATCAGTAATATTAACTTGATAGACGCTCCTGCTGGTCTCACCTTCTGCTAAAGCTTTCTTCAGGATGTCGTGTTTGGCCTGAAGCTTAGAGATGAGATTACTTCCCTCCAGATACTCGCGGAATTTCTGAGGATTTAGAAAATAAAACACACAGTCAGCAAGTTTTCAAAAATATCATTAAATATTTACAATGAACAAATGATCGAAGCACTTTAATATGAAGTTAGCTGCAAATATGAGTGTAACGGGATGACAGTGAGCACTGAAACGGCTCTCAGAGCGTCCACATGTCCTCACAGTGAAGTAGAAGAGCTCCGTCTCCTGCTGATTGGCTCGTTTCTTGGCCAGACTCGGTTTGTTCAAGTATCCGTCTGACACGCTGGACTTGACGGACTCGGAGGACGGGCTGTGGGTGAAGCTCTGGGACACGTCGAAGTCCTCCAGCACCGTCATGTCCTGCAGGGTCGTCAGAGTCGCTCCCCAGGTCTTCTTCACCTGGAGAGGGGGGACGGGACAAAAACCGAACCACTTTAAGGAAACCTGACGAATCAAGATGCAAAGATCCTGCAGGTTTCTAAAATATCACAGAATCACCACATTAAACACTAATCTAGAGGAATGTCAACAATCACGTTTTAATAACGTCCTCTTAAGATCTAAATCTTTACCAGATTATCTATATTTCCTAATGATTTTGTTCTTTTATGTCTCATATTTTCATAAAACCGAGTTTTACGGCTGTAGTATTAGATGATCACTGCTGCTGCAAAGCATGGAGGACGTTTGGATTCTGCAGAGAGACGCTCGTTCCTAAATGATTCCACAAACACTCCGTCATCACCGCCGGTTCTCCTGCTGAGAGACTCAGCGCTGCATGTGAAGCTCAAGGTCAACACACTGTTCGTCGTGCACGTTTAGATATTTATACACGTCTTCTTTCAGACTGGTGGGAAGAAAACATACAAAATACACATTTATGTTTATTTTACTACTTTGTCTGTTTGCTTCTGTAGATTTCTGTTAAATTCACCAAAAGTTACCATTAGATAATGCCTCATTTGCATATTTAAATATAATTCAGGAAACTTGTAATACAAAAAGTAATCATCTTAATGTCAGTAATAAACTTGGGAAGTTTCATGGTGAAATGTACGAGTTAAAAATGTTTCCCTATTCACATTTCTATCGTCACAGCTTCATGGATCACGAGTTACGAATTGTTTCCTCTTCCACAACGTGTGTGTGTGTGTGTGTGTGTGTTGGTCTGTGTGTTTAAGTGTCTGTGTGTTGAAGCACAACTTGCTGTTTAAGCATTCTTCATATGCAAAGTGTGTTTGTACTTACAGTGTTGTTATTTGTTGCTGATAACCAGGGTGTGTGTGTGTGTGTGTGTGTGTGCGTGCGTGCGTGCGTGCGTGCGTGCGTGCGTGCGTGCTGCTGAGACGTGCAGACGCAGCTCATTAATCTGGACTCCTTCAGCATGTTTATGCCCTTCAGGGCGAGTTAACAGCAGCGAGTCACGGGTTTATTTTTAGAGGCTACATCTGCTTCATGAAAACGTATTACATGAACATAACTTTGTTCATCGAGTGTCTCGCTGTCAGATGAACGTTTTGATTTGAAGAAGGGAGGTTTCTCCAGCGATCGGTGCAGACGTTAAAGGTCTCTGAGGGGATGGATTGTGAATGACATTCTGAGCATCGTTCTGTGTGCGTTTACGTGGCCCAACCTCTTCGTTCTCGATCTTCAGGGACGCCAGGCGGGTCTGCAGCTGCGTGAGGCGGAGGGTGAGCTCCGCCTGGAGCTGAGGCTGGGAGGCAATCTGGGTCACCTGACAGGAAGTGGGACAACGACAGGATGAAATTGGACAGCATGGAGAAGAAGAGGTTGTGCAATGTAATTCTAGTGACGTGTGTGCTTTCTGAGCTTTTCTGTGACCCAAAAATACATTCATATAAATAATGCGTAAGGAGCTCTCGATCACGGAACATGTCGTGTCATTTCTGTCTCTGGTAAGCGACTCATTGATGTAGGTCTTTGTGGAAAGACGAATATTAAATTCAGCGTTTTTCAGCTGAACTTTTGTCCACATCAGAATTTTTGGACTGTTTTGCTAAAAGCTTTTATTTTGAAAAAAGGAAGTCACAGTGTGTCACAAAAATATTAGTATTCTGGCTGAAAAAAAGTTTAATAAAAAACATAAAAAAATTGAGATAAAATGCTAATTCTCTCTTGATAAATATTTAAGAAGTGTATGTAATAATAATAATGATAATTCATTAATATAAGTCTAAAGAAATAATCCAGAAGCATGTGGTCGGCACGGTGTACTGACTGCGTCCCCCATGTGAGCCTGGAAGCTGAAGCGTAGGGGGGGGCAGAAGGCGGTGGGGTAGAGGCCCAGCAGACGCTGCCGGTCCCGGGCCGGGTCCAGGCCCTCCACGGCCCCCTCCAGCACCTCCAGACCGGCCCTCCTGGAGGCCTCGAGGCTCAGTTCGGCTGACAGGTAGGTCCTCAGAGCCCGGCTCAGACTGGAGTGGTACCCTAGGTCACAGCACTGAGACACGAGGACACGAGGACGGAGGAAACGATAGAAGGCATCACACAACCATAACTATGTATCTTCATCATCACAGTTAAACAGGTGACTCTTCCTCATCCAATGCGTTTAAACAGGAACACTCACGTCTATGATGTCGGGCAGGTCGTGGATGTAGTACTTGAACACGGAGGCGTTGGTGGCCTCCAGAGTCAGCAGGTACTCGTTCCTGGCTTTGAGAGTCTTCAGCTTGTTCTCAGAGTACTTTGCCTTCCTCTGATGAAGGAAGAAACACCGTTAAGATCCTCACAACTCATCATTCCTCAGAGAGATTTACACGCCGAGGTGTAGGCAGGAAGCTATTAAGATGTGTGATATATTTATACAAGTCTCCTTGGTTCCTTTTATGTTTCCTCGGCTCCTTAACTAGAAGGACACACGACCCTCGACATGGAGACGTACCTTCTCCCTCATCTTCTCCATCTTGCGGGCGGCGTTGCGTCTCTGGTGGCGCTCTTCTATCCGCAGGCCGAACACCGGCTCCACGCCGCCGCCCGACCCCGACAGGCCCTTCACGCGGCCCTCCTGGCGCTCTGCCTCCCGCAGCTTGGTCTCCGCACTGATCGTCTCCACGTGGTACATGTGGTACGTCTTCATCACCTAGGGAACAGAAACTTCCACCTTCTGTTTGATGCTTTGTGAGAGAGTATTTCTTAAAGAAAAATACATTTAAAACACGTTTCAAAGACCTGCTGACGTCCACTTACGGTGTACAGCTCGTTCAGAAGCTTCATGAGGTCTTCCTGAAGCTGGAAGATGATCTCTTTACTCTAACAGAGGAGTCGAAACACAGAAAACACATCATTACTACATGTACTCACACATGTTGAGGTACTTGTACTGGAGTATTTCCATTTGAATGCCTCTTAAAGCACATTTCAAGGGGATTCAAGGGACATTTGAAAAACTCAAACCAATGTGTGACGTCACGGTGACTGCGTCCACTTCTTGTATACTGTCTCAACGAGTACTTTAAGTACATTATATTTTGGATATTTCACCTTTTATTGGACAGAGACGGAGGACAAATGTCCCCGGCTGGAAACGAAACCTACGTGTCGCTGTAGTATTACAGCAGTATTACAGCAGTATTACAGTAGTATTACAGTAGTATTACTCTCAGGCTGGAGATAGAACATCTCTCCGCCACTTTTGGGGAGTTATGTGGCGGCACATTAATATTATATTATATTATAATATTAATGGGGGGGGGGCTCCTGTAAGAGTTTGACTGTTTATAGCTGCTGGCAGCCGCTGCACTTTAGTCAGTATGAATAAAAGACGAGAGATTAATAATGAACAAGCTGAGCTAAAGTTAGAGGCGCTTTCCTGTGTGTGTGTGTGTGTGTGTGTGTGTGTGTGTGATTAGTTAAACTGGGAGGAAGCGTGACGGACCTCAGGGGAAAACTGACTTTACTTTTCATTAGAATCAACTCTGGTACTTAAAGAAGCCGGAGGAAGAAATAAATAAATAACAAGAGAGGAAGAGAAGTACATTCAAGGTACTTAAAGTAGTACTTCCACTTCATACTTCTACTTGACTACATGTACAGTATTTAGATTTAGACTTTGAGTACATTTAGCTGATAATACTTCAGTACTTTAAGATACCACATATTAATGAATGAAGACTTGTTTTCTTCTACATTAAGTTAACAAGCAAAGAGCGATTCCAGGATTGATCTCGTTCTCTTTCCCTTCTGTTGCACAGCTCTCAGCCCATTACCGAGGTCTGCTGCTGGAACATTTACAGAGATTTACAGCGAGATGTTTGGCTTTTATTGGCAGTTAAACATCCTCTTAATTACGGGTAGTTGGAGGTGCCGCGATGTGTCAGAAGCTCCTCCCTCCTGAGAATAAGTAGACACATTGAACCGACAGAAAGAGGCCGATCGGAGCCTGAAACCCTCCTAATGGTCAGAAAAGTATCGATTGCTGTTCGCGGCTCGGAGCTCAAAGACCCGAATCTTTAAAAAACACATAAAAAATAAATAGTTTATATAAAAACAATGCTGATGTTATCACGTTGTCTCCTAAAGTAGGTTTTAAGTGTTTGGAGATAAGTTTTAATTAAACAAAGAAGAGGAAATAGAGCATTGCTTAAAGTGAACTGGAGGAACTGGTCCGGTGAGTGAAAGGTCTTTGAGCTCACCCTCTTCAGAAGTCGGGCGGAGTCCTCGCTGATGTGAGTGAGGCGAGAGATGACGTTGTTCAGGTAGAGATCACTGAGGGTGGCGTGGTCCTTACTCTCCCTCCTCACCTGGAGAGAGAGAGAGAGAGAGGGGGGGGGGGGGAGTGTGATGGAGGGATGTATAATGTTTTACATATGTATTATGATAAAAGGGTCTTAAAGGAACCCACCTGGTTTAACAACAGGTACCAGCAGTTTACAGGAGAGAGCAGGTTCTGGTCTTTTCTGGAGGAGAGAAAAACACACTTTTAATTTCTTCTGCTGTTTTAAACATCGAACATGTTGCGCTTTGGTTTCTCGGTCCTACTTGTATTGCTGATGGTCTTTCGTGCTGCGTGTTTTGGCCATGAACCTCTCCGCCAGCTTCTCCAGGTTTCGGGAATATTCGGTCTCGATCTCGGACTTCTTCCTGAAGAAGTCCTGCAGGTCCTGAAGCAGCTGGACCCGCATCTCCGTCTGCTGCTCCAGACATCGCTGCTGCTCCACCAGCTGGGCCCGAACATCTACACAAACACACAAACACATGGAGTCCTACAACCAGGGAACGAGTCCTACAGCCAGGAGACGAGTCCTACAGCCAGGAGACGAGTCCTACAGCCAGGAGACGAGTCCTACAGCCAGGAGACGAGTCCTACAGCCAGGGGACGAGTCCTACAGCCAGGGGACGAGTCCTACAGCCAGGAAACGAGTCCTACAGCCAGGGAACGAGTCCTACAGCCAGGAAACGAGTCCTACAACCAGGGAACGAGTCCTACAGCCAGGAAACGAGTCCTACAGCCAGAACACGAGTCCTACAGCCAGGAAACGAGTCCTACAGCCAGGAAACGAGTCCTACAGCCAGGAAACGAGTCCTACAACCAGGGAACGAGTCCTACAGCCAGGAAACGAGTCCTACAGCCAGGAAACGAGTCCCACAGCCAGAACACAAGTTCTACAGCCAGAACACGAGTTCTACAGCCAGGAAACGAGTCCTACAGCCAGAGCACGAGTCCTACAGCCAGAGCACGAGTCCTACAGCCAGAGCACGAGTCCTACAGCCAGAGCACGAGTCCTACAACCAGAGCACGAGTCCTACAGCCAGAGCACGAGTCCTACAACCAGAACACGAGTCCTACAGCCAGAACACGAGTCCTACAGCCAAAAAAATTCTACTCCACACAGTGTATTGATTAAATGCTGGGATCTGATCGGTTCTCCGGATCGGGAGTGAAGAAGTTGAATCGGTGAATCTTTATTTGTCCTGTCTGCTGAGTGACAGCGGCTCTCTAACCTCCACCAGGATGACTGACGGCAGACATTTACTGAACCACAACAGTTTTCATGGCAGCTCCATGAGAACAAATCACCAGTGCTTCTATTGATTGGTTGGTTTTATTTCCTTGAATCGGTCTTTAGGGAAACAGACAGACTTGATCAATCAATATAGATCCAGGTAATGAGTTCATACATATAAACTGCAGGACATCTGTGTGATTTAAACAGTTATCTATGTGCGAGTGACGGACGTCCGTTTCTGCTGCAACATCAATTTTCTGGCACTTTGGTGATTTTTATCAACAAGAGCAAACTAAATAGCAAAAGTGCAGAAAAGACGGAATAATTCTTTAATGTAAATAAAGTCTGCAGTTAAAGAAAATGTATAGAAACTATTCATGTATTTAAATTATGTTGTGTGGTTGCATTCTTCTTTCTCTCTCATCACTGTAAGTATTCATGAAGTAACTGTAACTAACAGACCATTTCATTCTATTGTTATCTATGTTTTTGAGTAAAGGGGCAGAAAAATAATCCTCTTCTCCTCTTTCATTGTGCACCATGACAAATAAATGAAAATGAAGTCAGTAGGATTCATCGGCACATGAACGTCTACACAGAGTCACTCGTGCTTCTTTTAAATGACCTTTCATGCATTTAAACACTTTAAATGTAAAACGTTTCCCGGTTGTTATTCGTCTTTAAATAACAATTAAAATGTATTTGTAATAAGCACGCTTTCTTCCGACCACTGTTATTCATTTCATCTGTAAAAGGAAGGTTTTATGTTTTTATTTATTTTAAATGTACAGCAGTTTGAGCTACAACATCTGTATGAAATGTGCTGAACAAATACAGATTATTATTATTATTTAATTAAATAAATTATATATATTTATAACAATAGTGAACAATGTTCATCACGACCTCTCAGAGCTCGTTTTGTCCAAAACCCAAAGATATTCAGTTCACACATAAAACAGAGATTCCTCTCTTGTTAGAGGAGCTGGAAACAGAACGAATGTTTAACGTGTTTCAAATATAAATTATTTCATTTTCTGTCATTGGACGAAGCCGTTAACTCAGCTGTTCAGCACCGCACGTCCTCGCTCTATTTTTAATCCTTTATAATTACTGATGAAGACGGTCCGTCTTCTTTCTCCGAGGAGTCACCTTGGAAGACATCCTCTGACCGCATTACAACACACACACACACACACACACACACACACACACACACACACACACA